AAAAAAAAAAAAAAAAAAAAAAAAAAAAAAAAAAAAATTCACTAGTACAATTGTCTACAGGCAAACAAATTGCAGACACATTGCAGCGTGCTTGTTCGTCAGACGCAATTTAAGCCCCCCCACGGTTTAATATATCAGTAAATCCACCCTCGCGACAAGCAACTCCGGAAAAATCAGCAGCCCAAGTGCACAATGCATCCCCAACTCGCGCACGATATGTACGACAAAGAAAAAAAAAAGGGGGGGGGGAGGGTAAGCTCGAGAGCAACGAGACTTTTCCCCCTCGTTCAGAAAAACCAGCCCCTATTCCCTCGACTCGTCTCGCCGGTGTCGTCCTTAACGCCGAGCCGAACCCCTTCCCCCCGTCAAATTCGTCTCCCGTAACTATACACGGAAGTTCCAATGTCCCATTCCTTCATAGATATATTTTCTAAAATCGACCATATCCTCTCAGCTCTCGTTATTATTCTCATCATCATTTAACAAAGAGAGAGAGAGAGAGAGACAATAGGCGACACTGGCTGTGCAGGCGTACGAAAAATCAGTAGTAAGAGTCAGAGTTAAGGAAGACTCGCGGAAAAATGCATCACCGCGCCACCCCTTTCTTATGGTAACGTGCGACGCATCACCCATCGAGTCAACAAATAAACGCGCGTCGCGTGTACGTGTAGAAGCGGTAGTCGGTTTACGGGAGCTGCAGCCCTTGTTGTGCAACAACACCAAGGTGCTACCAAGGGAAGGGCATGCAGGATGTAAGTACACCTACACAGCTATCCCCTCCACTACCACACACGGACAGTGAGCCGCAGTGGTATATATCGCGCAGACGCGGCGTTTATGGATTTTCCCGTGGCGGTGCAGCCCCTACCCTCGGGCTCGAAGCACACACACACACACACGGCCACGCGCCGAGAAGGAGCGAGGGAGTTTGCAGGCGCGAGCGTCAGAGGCGCGGGAAGCGTGGCGGTGGATACACGGGGCCACCGGGATCCACACCTTTTGTGCCCTTCCGCGTGTGTGCCTCCGTTTGACCATTGCATCGGGGTAACAGTGAGCCCCCCTCCCCCTAACCCTACCCCCCTCAGCTGTCATGGAGAACACGTGAACTGTCACCCTTTAAAGGAATCCTCCGTCACGTGGCAGCACAAACCTGGACGTCGAGGAGCATAACTTGCTTCCTTCCTCCGTGTGCAATCCTTGCGCGAGAAGCGGTTGGGCGTGATGCGCTGCGCCCTCGTGTGTTACCTAAGCCGATGCCTGCGCGCGGGTTACTGTACCCTGTGTTGCGTTATGATACGTGACTCATCGTACGTACTGTCTGCGGTGTGTACCAGCCCGACACCGGTGTAACAGTATCGCTTCCGCGTGTACATACGTGTACACGTCTGGCACTTCATCCCCACGGCTGATGCTGCCGATGTCAGTCGCGAGGGACAGATAAGGCCCGTCCGCCCCGCAGGTAAGAGCTTCTTCTTCTTTTTTTTTATTTCTCCCCCTTTACCTCCCTCCCGCCGTGCTTTGTTTTTCCCCCTCGTATCGGTGCACCATAGCGAGCTTTATTTTTTTTTTTTCTTTTGGTTTCTCGAGGGTGTTTTTCTCCGAAGGGTGCATATGCTGTATACACGGGCACGAGGCGCGTGGGCTGACAATGGGGTGCGCGCTCCTCGGGGGAACAAAATGGTTTTAGCTCCGAGATTTTTGGATGGAGTGGGATTTTTTAGTTCGACGTATGTGAAAGGGGATGCCGCGCGACGTGTCTATGAGGATATCCGATTACGTCGGGCTTTGGGGTGGGCAGGTATACCTGCAAAGTTCGCAGCGAGGGTAGTTCGTCAAGCGTCGGTTTTTGGAAACGAATTTTTTTGCACGAGTCGCGGCCGAGTTTCTTATTCCCACAGATCTTGCATAATACAGCGGCTCTCGAAGGACACGTTAAAAGGCTCTGGGAGAGCAAAAAAGTAGCGAGTAAGATTGCTCGGGCGCTTGTTTGTTTTTTCCAACGTTAGCTCTTTGCGGTTGAGAAAGAGAAAAATCGCTTGTCAAAAAAAAAAAAAAAAAAAACACTTCGATCCCTTACCTAAGATTTCAATTAAAAAAATTGTTTGTCCAAGCTTTGAAAATATTTGAATATTCGATATTCGAAAGTACACGAAAAACCCAAGCGGATCAAAAGCTCGTTGTTGTGCCGAGCAATGAATGTATAATGCGGAGTAGGTTTATAATATACCGATACATAACAGTTGGGTCGTATGTTCACGGTGCAACGTTATATTATATTACAGTTAGCAAAGTTTGAGGGAGTAAAGGGAGAGGGGTACACATATATTTGCTCCGTACACGTTTCATATACGATGCGCCACGGATCAACAATTGACTTGCACATTCGGAGAATGGATAAATAACACGAACAAAAGCATCGCCAGCGCCAATTTATTAGTAAGAAAAACAAACATCCAACGAAGTGGTGTTATTTCCAGTGAAAGTAGCCACTGATTTTCAATCGCTGCACCATCCGTACAGGCACGTGACGAATAATCGATAGTACCTGATTGCGCTGAATCGGGTTCGAAGCAGCCCTCGCCAAACAAGCGACTAAACCACGACCGTGTATATCTTCGCAATCGAACGCTTTCTTTCCTGTTTAGTACATGGCGAGCACTACAGAACAGCGATACCTCGGGAACGTCGGAGAAACATTAAACTGGAAAAGTCCATTAGCCAAAGGCGTAAATAAAACAATCGAGCAGAGCCAAGCTGCTTGCCTTGCACATTTTTTCAAAGCACCTGACGCGGCTTGGTTTACGGCACAGCAGCGATTTCCATCCTTTTTTTATTTGTTTGCTCTTTTTTTTTTTTTTTTTTTTTTTTTTTTTTATACCACTTCGTGTGCCGATGGTGATACAACAGAGACCGTGCATGCCAGACACTTTTTTTTTTTTTTTTCTTTGGCTCGGAAAAAACTTGCAACTCGAAAGGTTATTATTCGAGTCTAGCGATGATTTTATGAAGTAGGTGTGCGCGCTTACGAGCAAATGCCTCGGTTTTTATATGACTCTTCACTTGATTTTTTATTTGAATAGCAGTGCATCAATTATACCCTGTGCCCTCGTCGTCAACTTTGTACAGCCACACTGTAATTTCGTCACTAATTACGACCATCATCGCTAATGAGCTTATGTACCACGTATGTTAATTGACTTTGGCATTAGGAGTCGAACATTAGAGAGCCAAGTAAACACACGTTTACTTGCCATTGATCGAAGCGATCATTTTTTTTATACATATTGATTAATTATCAAAATAGCTGTGCTCAAAAGTCTTTTAACCAGGTCAGGTGCGTCTACTGGTGCCGATTTATAATTACATTGGCAGATCCATCCCGGACAAGCACCTGTCAGGGATCGATTGATCGAAAAGTGACGTACCCTACAGTCTGCAAATATTGTTTCAATTGCAAAGTCGATCGTTAATTCATCACTGGCTTTTTCACGCCACATGAATAACGCATCCCTCCTTACTACGCCTCTGTGCCTATACCAACTGTTCCTTCGAGTAGTTGGTTAAAATTAAAATGTTCCAATCGATACGCATCTACGTTTTTCCGAATCGACAATACCTGTTAAACGTCCCAAAAAGACAGCAGCTCGCTCGCCAATTCCACGCAACCGCGACGCGGTCGGTTACAACCTGTGGCTCGGGAAAAGTAAATTCTGCTTACGGGACGCGCTTTCAAAAAACGCGTCGCGACAAAGTATCGCGTGTAAACAGTATGGGACATTTGATCCGAACGAAAATAAAGTTTATCGTAAGGCTGGTGTCACTGAACGCGCGAGTATTTTTTTTTTCCCCATCGTCAGCTGCTTTGATTATCACTATACCACCGCGCTTGCAAAGGTATACGTATACATGTATTATACACGTGCGCGTCGAGTAGGCGTATGTGTCATAATTCACGAGTCCTTGGCTGTTTAAATGCAACCGATAAGATAGCTGATACGTATATGTATACATATATGTATAATACACACGTCACAGTCGCGAGCACGTGTCTATATTTACATTAATCGACTTTACGCTCGTGTACAGCTGTGCAGTGTATGGTTATGGGTGTGCATATGGTATTAGGTGGGATCGATCGAGGAGCATTGTTATTAAAGAATTAATTTTAACAATAAATTAGTCACGCCATTCAATGGGGCATAAAAATTCATTTATCACCTATAGTTGCCATCGATCCTCGATTTGTCGTCTGAACCTATATGTGGGTGATTAACTAACTTGGGCGTGTAAATGTTTGATGAAAATTCAATGAATTGTTGATGCTTGAGAATTTGTTGTTTTTTTTTATTTTTGATTACTGTTATTACAATACAGGGCTCAACGAAATTTTTTTTCCAGCTAATACAGTGCTGTGGAATGTAAATTAAAAAATGAATTCCGAAAAAATAGAGTTACAGTAAAAATAAAAAAAATAAAAAAAAAAAAATCCTCACATGACATGTATATTCATATACACGTGCTCACTTACCTGTACGTAATCCTTGACCCACGTGTATGGGTATATTACATGTACACAAAAACCATCGAGTCACAGCCTAACCCCATACTACCGGCTTCCCCGACAAAATCCATCAAAGATAAGTCACTACCACCCCGTGAAGCCCCCCTTAAACACACCGCGGTACTCGCACCCTCCCACGAAAGATTATTGCCATTACAATATCGTACACCTCCAGCAAGTCAGCATCGGCCGGATGTCGGCACGGCAGCGAGGCCGTCAAGAAACGAGGAGCCGGTCATTTGTCGTCGGCAACAAAGTGGCGGCGGTGGTGGTGGCGGCCGATCGCTACCGCAGCCATCACTCTTATCGGAGCAGTGACGCGGTGAAAAGCTACGGAGTCGGGTCTCGGCTACTCTTGACACTGGTGTGCTTGCGCTGAAACAAAAAACAAAAAACAAAAAACGAAAAAAAAAAAAAAAAAAAAAAAAAAAAAAAAAAAAAAGAGCATAAAAAGCTCGATGCGGCATGGCTCGTCCTCGCGTGTCGGTCAAGCGATGCTTCCTCTACGCCGTCTGTTTCACCGGCACTCTGCTCGTCCTCGTCAACGTGCGCCAGATGGAAATGTGGCACGCCGCCGTCACTCGACCCGGGGAACAGACGCAAACTGCCCGAGGATCCCCCGGAGACACCGCCAAGGTTAGTCCCCTCTATCCATACACTTTATCACACCTATATATACCCCATGTCGCATATTATGTATTTATACATTGTTGTGTTTCTCACGTTGTTTGTACGTATAGGCATAATATTTATGTGGTCACGAATCAATGTTGTTTGCGCTGTAACGATGTTTGTTACTGACACGCGTAACATGGGGCACCTCAGTTTACTATACTTCAATGTTATCTCTCCAACGCTATGCAACCTATACTTATTTGCATTGGGTATCAATTGTGTTTTAACTTTCGTGCAGCGCTGTAAAGGCTCGTCACGCCGTTCAAGCTTGCAAGCTCCCTCGCGACATGGGGATACCGTCCCGGATTTTTTTTTTCCAAATTTATTTCGCTTCGTGTCCACGAAATTTGGGAAATGTTAAATTTACATATCGTAGATACTTTTTACGGGCATGTTGCAAACATATACGCTAATAATCAATATAGGTGACGCGTATGATTTTGGGAGACAAAGTGCATCGAAATATCGTCGAAATCCAACTCGGTTGCTCAATGACGCAAATGTGTATCGGTGATACGCTTGGCACCTTAATGACTTTTTAACGAGAACAAAGGCAAAGTGCATTAATTAGACTGTTACTTCAACTACATTCAAGTATAGGAACGCGTGTCATTAAGCCAACGATATCACTCGTGAATCTTGGAATTGGTGCTCATTTACATCTCGTTACGAATAACGCGCGTATAGGTATACTATACATGCACATGACTCACTACTTATTTATCATATTTAAACATCCGATAATCAATACCACGCCGAGGAGGAACCACATAAATCATAAATACGTCCCTTAAGTCGGGAGTGTTAATGTAGGTGTACAACTTACAGCGTGAAAGGTCAACGCGCTCGATTACAGGGTACATGGATGTATGCTTATCGAGGCGCTCCATCGTATTACCCTCTTCCTACCCCCCTTTTTTTTTTTTTTTTTTTTCTCTCTTCATTTCGATAAATCCAGTCGGGTCGATAGAAGCTGTGGTGCGCAATAGTCTACACCGAGAGTAGAGATCGAGTTTTCATGTTGCGAATTTCGCAGATAAGAGAGTTGTCGGGAATAATCGGATGGTCGATGGCGACGACAACAGCAGCGGCTACGACGACGACGACGACGAGGAAGAGGAGGAAAGCGAGGCGTCGAGCGAGACTGAGAAAGATGCCCTACGACTTGTATCCGTTCGACTGGCGCCAAGCGCAGGAGCACTGGGTATCCCTTACCCCCGTCCCTATACGTTATTTCGTCCTAGAGGCAAATTATTAATTACTTGTGGCGGGAAAATGAGATTATACTGGGCGTCTCGTTTACTGTAGACACGTTTATCGATGCGCGTCCTGTGTCTCGTTTGTGCGTACCTATATAAATGCCTACAACGAGGGGGTGGAAAAGGTAGTAGCTCACGTTTTTTAAGTTAAAAAAGAAAAGTACTTTTCTTTGATGGAAAAAGTTTTTATCGGGATTTTCGAGCTGAGAATAAGCTTCGGTTTTATTTCGTGCCTTTGCCTACGTGTTCGTAAAAAATAGTGAGGTTTGGCTTGAATTTTAGAACAGAAACGTGTTTGCAGGTGTACCATCAGTCACACGTCAGGATCAACAACTGACGTCGGTGGTTGGGAGCTTGAACGTATTTTTTTTTTAATATCATAGTATCGCGAACGCAAAACTTAATCGCGTGATTGTAAATGAAGCGTTTGATCGGTTATAAACAAAATGATTCGTCTAAAAGCGCGTTTTATTATTTAAACGTTCTGCCACCTGTGTATTTAGAAGCAGTCGTATCTCAATACCCCCTCGGCCGATTTTGATCGTTCAAGGTTCAAAAGTATATGAAACGTATTGATCCCACCTTTTTTGTTATTTCGTACTACTCTTCATACCATTCGTAAATGGTAGAACGTGAGAAAATCTTTATTTTTTTTATTAGAAAGTACTGATCGGTTAAGTTTTTTTTTATTGCATTGTTTTAAGATAGTTAACTACTGTCACAAAATCACGTTAATCTCAACGTTTGATATGATATCGCGTTATATATCTTGCATGGAATACAATCACGTGAATCATGATTGAAATTGTATTTTTTCATCCATCAAAGTTATTCTAATTTCTATTTATGGAACGTTATTCTAATTCTCATCGTTTGAAACTCCATAACAATCGATATTTTAATTTTACGTTAAAATTATAATATTCAGCAATATTAAATAAAAAATTTGAAATTAATTAACGAAATTCATTCAGTGGTTCAAAATACAATTATTATTACAGACAGACGTAACACATGACTTTCGTCAGTTAGCGACTGTCAAGGACATTTGCCAATTGGTAGCTAATGTATAATCTATATGTACAGCAACGTTCGACGTTAACATAACATTGAGTTACCCAATTGACGTTATCATTTGTAGAACAAAGAGGAACGGCTGGTATAGTAAGAGCAAACAAGACTCTAGAGCAATCAGCCGACAGATGGTCGAAAAATTGAAAATATTTGAGTTTTGAGCTGCACCTTTAAATACGAGCGTGACACCTGTACAATTTTTAAAATAATTTTACTCCTTAGCCGAAAATAAAAAATGTATAAATAGAAATCTATCTAGTATAAGATTCAAAGTTAATATAAATTCATATTAAAATTAGTGATAGAATTAGGATTGTATANCAGGCAGTCATAGAAGTACTTACTTGCCGAAAAAAAAAATAAATGAATGTTCAACCATAAAAATAATATTATTGTTAATCTCACAGATATCAAATCTATCTAGTATAAGATTCAAAGTTAATATAAATTCATATTAAAATTAGTGATAGAATTAGGATTGTATACCGATGAATCGAATCAGGGAAGTGATTACGCTACTACATGTTAAAAGTGACAAAAACGCGTACAAGTTCAGTAACATCTTTCAACATTAGAATTAAAAATACATGTGGGGAGTTAACATTCAAAAATAATAGAAAAAAAGTGCGAAAAACTTAATGTCAGTTATTTTTCTTACGGTGACATTTAATTAAATAAACTTCTATGCTTTTAAAAAAAAAAATCTAAATGGTTCCTTTTTCCATTAACAATTAAAATGCCAAAAGAATGAACCTAACGACTGTGGATACGAAATGCTATACATGTAATACAATTACAAATTACTTTACTACTGATGCAACAATAGTATTTTTTTTCGTGAGAAATATACCGATTGTACATTTTTAACTTAAAAAATGATGTGTCATACCTTTATTCCTTCAGGTTTCTATATGAGTATGTATATAATGTATTATATGTACACAAGCATCAATACGCCTTTTTAGTCGCTTATTCGAATAATAATGAATAATTATATTTTTCTTTTCATTAGAAGCATAATACACTTACTTTTTAAAATTAAGAGTTGTCTTAAAAAAAAAATCTTCTTTTTGTACGCTTTTAGAAAATTGATCGTAATATAAAGTATTTATCACACATCGTGAGCACGCTAGGCAAAGTAGAATCACAGCTTTTCCAAGATACAAGTACCTGTACTGTTACTAAATTGTTTTACTTTTGATTGTTAGTACTTTTGATATGCAATGCAATACTTACTCTAGATCAATAATTATCTCACCGTTTGTAATTTAGCATCAGGAATTTTTAATCAACTACCGAATGAGGCACAAGAGAAGTAGTATTCAAGGGTACATAAATTTTGACCGAATAATTTTACTTACTTAAAAATAAAAAAAAAATAAATTAAAAAATTAACAAGTATTTCATTCTAAATTAACTTTAGCCTCGAAACTTCGAAGATGATGTTTTATATAAATATAGCCCCTTGCTTCGTGCCGGAAACTTCGTGCGAATGTTATTGGAACTTTTAGCGCTATCGTCTACGAGCAACGTCAAAGTTGCTCGCGAGAAAGGAAATTTACTTTCGTAAAACAAGGCTCTGCAAATTTGAGTCTTATTTTTACCTTCCCAAAGTTTCTTGACGTGGGATGGATTTTATATTTGACACTCGTCGGGCAGTTCATAATTTTAAAATAGTGGATTGATAATGATAATAAAAGATACTTATTTTCATAAACAGAACTTTTTATAGCAAATTTTTTAAATATTTGAAATAATACTTTCTTTACTCTGCTGCAGGCCAAGAATTAATATTGATATCATTTCTTGACATAGTAAAGTTTCATAAATATTTTTTCAATCACTTATCGATACTTCTGTTATGTATTCCATACATAAATGATTGATACATTTTATTAGATAACAAGATTGTGGATGACGCGGAAAAACAATAGTAGATTATCCCTTTTATTTTCGTCAAGATAAGGTAAAAATAGTATTACACAGACTTTGCATAAGCTGTCACGGGTTATGGAGGAAAAATTTTTTCTGCATGTGTCTGGAACATAATAAAGTATTACAAATCAGTTGGCAATGTTTATCGTAAAATTATCATTACGTTTTATCTTTGTACTTTGCACACCTGAACACAATACATTCATGAATTTAAACAATTTGACAGAAATATTTTTTTTTCTCCTTTAAGTGCGTTTGTTTAGCTGAAAAAATGTTTCATGCATTATAACCCACAATGTTTCTAAATTGTTTTTTTTTTTTTTTTTAATTTTTAATTCGTTTTTTCTGGAAAAATATTTATAAATACTGTGTTTGTTTTTTTTACATCGTACAGAAACACAATACAAAATATTTTTAGCAAAAATTTGTGTAAAAAAATATTTTTGCCCGAATTTTTTATTTAAAATTTTGAAACACCAACCAACAACTTTTGCCTCGAAGTGATGAAATATTCAAGTATGAATTTAATAACAGAGCGAAATAATTTACGCGCCATATTGCACATTAAACATTCAAAAACCGAGTTGCCAGTCTGACCAAAGTAAGAAGTAAAACAATGCTACGCTGAGGGTTCCTTGCACAAGTATAAAGTAGCTGCTGTGCTTGTGCGCTGCTATATATAGTGATGATAGTAGGTCCGTCGTGAAGATACCGCGCATACATTGACACAGACTGAGTAGTATATACGAGCTGTAACGGAACAAACTACGGCAAAAAGTAGCACTGCAGCAAAGCACGCACCCAAGCTCAACCCTTCCTCAAGTGACCCCTCACCCACACACTAAAACAGAGCTTTCAAGTTAAGTTTTTATTGCATCATGAAAATCACATATCTCCCCATACTAGATTTCTCTGAGATATTTTACAATTTATAAATAACTGGTTGTGAGATAAAATAAAGAGAGAACATATTTAATCGTGCACGAGTTGTGAATAGTAATATCCTGACGGTGGACTATGTATGAGGGACCATCTGTTCCTTGGTGCGATACGAAAACCTTTGTTTCACGTTTCGTCGACTTTTCATGATTGTGTGCCTATTTTGTCTTTAATTTTCATGAATAGTTAATTTAGTTCTGCCTCGAGTGCACCCCCTTCTTCGCCAAATATTTGAATTTCATGCTCTGCACAATGTAAACGTGACCCTTTTTTTTTTTACTTCACATTAAACGTTTTCCTTTATATCCTTACGCAACGCATACAAATTACGTGTTTAAAAAAAATACACTGTTATAAGCACTGATTTCTCACACTATTCTTTTCCGTGCTTAAAATTTTTTTAAAATGCCAAATTTGGAACTACTATCCAAACAAATATACGCTGATGCACTTTTTATTTATTTATCACGATTAAAAATTTCTTTTTTCCACCGTGTCAATGTTACTTTAAATTTTAATAGCTTACAAAGAAAAAAAAAAAAAAAAAAAAAAAAACCGACAAGTGCATCGATAACGCAGCAACTATATACTGATGTTTCTACTCCATAGCTCACACACTTTTTGTACACGTTCTACATCATGCAACTATACATTTTTAATGAATTATAGGCGAATGCATCATCAGGCAGTCATAGAAGTACTTACTTGCCGAAAAAAAAAATAAATGAATGTTCAACCATAAAAATAATATTATTGTTAATCTCACAGATATCAAATACCACGGGAGCGTCAAACGCCATCGGCGGAGCGGTAGAGCTGAGGGAGCCGTCGAAACGACCCTGGTACATGACAGGCGGACAAGTGCGACCACGGCCGGCGCCGGTGTTTAAGCGCACTGGCAGGAGGGTCGCGGTCATCTGGCCCGAAGAAAGTCGGATCGATGATCGCGTGACGAATCAGGTGAATTTTCAACATTAGCTCACCCTCATACCTACACAGTCCATAAGTACACGCGTCCTCGTATACACTATCCGCGTGTGGATGAATTATTTGTTGGGGATTGGAATTTTTTTGTTTTTTTTTGGTTCTAAATTGCTTCTTTGACATTTCCAGCTGATGTTCATGCCACCGGGATACAACAAATCAAACGCGGACATAAGGTTCAAGAGAATTTACATACCACACGGCATGAACGAGGCGAAAAGTGGTCCCGACGTATTCTTCCAGCAAGGCTGTCCGGTTAACACTTGCACGATAACCCGGGATAATCCCAACGACGCGGATTTGATACTATTTAAGGATTATGTGACGCACATCGGCAAGAGAAAACCCAATCAGGTGAACTAGTGTTAATTGTATTATAATATACGGACTGTCAACCCTCACATAGCCATGCATTAACTAATAGCATCGTGCCATTTTTAACAAGCGTTTAATGATCGATTTCATCTATATTCACAATCAACTGAGTCAAATGACTGACAACTGAAAGAATTGGTGCAAAAAAAATACAGGAATGCAGTATATCATGTCTGATACATTTTCGTATTTCACAACCTCTTACTGCTTATTTTTTTGGAAAAAATCATTATTAATGTTTGCTTTAAATTTTCTGTATGATCAAGAAAAAAATCGCTAACTAACAGTTGCTGCAAATTTTCCATTTATATTATATTCATTTTGCTATATTTAGATGATTCAAAGTGAATTATATGTCATTAAGTCAATTTGTACTTTTTTTACTACTTGGGATGAACATTACAACGAATCAATTAAAATTTTTACATCGGAAAGATACATTTTTTGTCTGCTACGTTGCTAATATTTTATTTGGTACAATACAGAAAATTTGATTTAACATTATAGTTTTTATTGTCATAATCGTTTAAGACACATAAAAATGTTTGTACATGGTCTGCAATTATAATGGTTAAATTGCTTACATAAAACTAACGTTAACGGTTGTTAGTTTGCTTACAATCAAGTGTACCACAGTAAACTTTTGTTTAAATCATCGTACGTTGTTTTTCTATTGCTTTTCTATGGCAAATTTTTAAGTAGACGGATATACATAAATTTTACACCCCAAAACTTTTTTTTTCCAGCAAACTTGTGTGCATTGTAATTGCTTTGTTGGTATAGACATACTGAAAATAATAGCGTCGTTAATATTTGAAACACGTCAGTTTTATAACTGAACTACTTTTCTTATCAACAAATGATTATACGTGCCTCGATACATACACGCATATTCTTACGCGTAACTGAAATAGAGAGGAACTGTAAAAATAAATTTTATCGTGCGCAGGTGTGGATGTTGTACTTTTTGGAATGTCCCTACCACACGCAAAGCGTCAAAAACGCTCTAGTCAATTGGACTGCCACTTATCGTCGAGACAGTGACATCGTCGCGCCCTACGAACGATGGCAATACTACAATCCAAAGGTCACTCAGATAGTGAGCAATTTCAATTACGCTGCCAACAAAACGAGGAAGGTAAGGCGTGTCAAGAATTAACGACACACTCAAATGTTCTAAGATTTTCCGTGAATAGATGCTCGTCAAATCGTACACGATACGGCGATTACGGTGATTTTCTCCTTTGAATGTAGGTCGCGTGGTTCGTCTCGAATTGCCATCCCCGCAATCAGCGCATGCAGTACGCCAAGGAGCTAGCCAAGCACATTCAAGTGGACATTTACGGGGCTTGCGGCACTTTGAGGTGCTCGAGGTCTCAGTCGCAGGCTTGCTTCGACATGCTCGACAACGACTACAAGTTTTACCTCGCCTTTGAAAATTCAAACTGCCGGGACTACATCACGGAGAAGTTTTTCGTCAATGGTTTAGGGTGAGTTTCTTTTTTTTTTTTTTCTCTTTCTCGTGCATTTTTTACAAATTATTTTACGCGTTATCGATCTGCTGTTTAATTTTTTTGCTGATACGACAGGTTTCTATTCGTAGCAAAAGCTTGAGTTTTTTTTTATGTATCGCGTCCTAGTAGATCTGCATTACCGGCCACGAGTATAAGAGATAAAAAAACAATAGGCTATAGATTATGTCTATAAGTAACTCACTAAAGATACCTGTTTTCGAGCTTGAATAAATTATAGTACTGAATAAATAGGAAAATTAAATTTTTTTTTTTCCGGTTTTTTACATAATATTATTTATACATAATATTTATTTGTACAACTTCAGTGTTGCATAAACAATTAGTTAAAGTATTGAAAAATCCGTGAATACAAATCCATAGAAGGAGATAAAGTTATTGCCGAACGATTGGCCGAGGCCTTGATACTCGTATTCAGGATGTCTGACCATTCCAACGGTTTTCTACTGAAACATATTTTTTGCCGGTGTACCTACACAAACTGCAGCAATCACGCTATTCTATTCAACAAGTACTGAAAAATGCGTGGATATAATACCTTAAGAAAAAAACAAAGAACGACTGGCCGAGACCTTGATACTCGTATTCACGATGTCTGACCATTCCAACGGTTTTCTACTGAAACATAATTTTTGCCGGTGTACCTACACAAACTGCAGCAATCACGCTATTCTATTCAACAAGTACTGAAAAATGCATGGATATAATACCTTAAGAAAAAAACAAAGAACGATTGGCCGAGGCCTTGATACTATTATTCACGATGTCTGACCATTCCTAGGATTTTCTACTGAAAAATACTTTTTGCTGCCGTACCTGTACAAACTGCAGAAATCACGCTATCCTATTGAATAAAACAGAGGATTGATATAAAAACTAATCTGTTGTAGGCACAACATCCTGCCGATCGTAATGGGCGCCCACCCGACGGATTACGCCCGAAGTGCCCCGTACCGCTCGTACATCCACGTGGACGAGTTCGAGTCACCGCGCGAGCTCGCCCAGTACCTGCACCGGCTCGACAAAGACGACGACCTGTACAACTCGTACTTCCACTGGAAGGGCACCGGCGAGTTCATCAACACGTACTTCTGGTGCCGGGTGTGCGCCATGCTGCACGACGACCAGCGCACCCGCAAGTATTACAAGGACGTCAATGAGTGGTGGCGCGGCGAGGGCGTCTGCGCGACCGACTCCTGGCGCGAACTCGAGCACCTCAGGAACACCTGAGAGCGGCTTCACGCTAACGAGACCAGCACGCGCACGGCCGATGATTACCGATAGCGGTCGGCCAACCACTCCTCCTCGTCGCTGCTCGATGAAGCGGTGGTATTCGAGATCCAGGCGTAGTGGAGCTGAGCGTGCGAGTCTCGTTAGGGTCGAGCTCTCGTTGCCAAATGTCGTATGCGCGTGACGCGGTGTTGGACTGGCCTGTGTTTTAATTTTTTTTCTTTTCTACAGTGTACTCTCTTTCTGACAGTGGCCCGTTTTCAAAGTATATTCTATACATTTTTGACAACTGATAATTCATGAGACTCGTTGAAACTCGTGATATTTGTCGGACTAATGAGTTCTCAGAGTTCGAAAATATTTAGAATATTTAATAAAAAATAAAAACCACTATACAATTGAAAGCAGTGTTTCTTACGGAAAAGACTGTCCAGTAGATAATTCGTTTTGAGTTGAGATTCTTCGTTTATGCCAGAAAATAATCGCGGATGTACAAATAAAATCACTTGAAAAAAACAAAAGAAGGTCCATCAAATATTGATTAGGAAAATTTAAGCAAGTACTTTGGGTGTTCAACTGAAACGGAAAATATCATTTATCAGATAATGTTTGGGACTATGAGTTGAATAAACCGTTTTCTATTATGTATCGTACCTAGTGCATGGACGATGAAAATTGTTACGCCAAAATAACCAGGACACAATAACTAAAGCTCAATATACATAGAGTCTGTGAACTTTTAACGAGCACAAAAATGTTGTACGCATTTAATCCCCCGAATAATCAAAGTAAAAAACGACAAAGAAATTTTAAATACGACACAAAAAAAGTTTCATGTTTTCAACCCTCTGAATACGAAGAAACTTGATATGTTTATACATTTTTGATACACTGAGTGATGAGTATCGTGACTTACTTTTACATTTTTTTAAATCCATCCTCATTGCATGCATTTGAAGGTATACCTCATCGCAAAAAAAAAAAAATAATAATAATAATAATAATAAATATAGTACGAACATGAAACTGACGAAATCATTTCATAAAACCATTAAGTAAAGTCAAGTCCAGAAAACTCGTATACTACAATAAAAATATCTAAATGATCAGAGTGTTCATAACGTAAAGTTTTAAAGGAATTTTCATTAGCGTGTGTACGAAGGCATGCATCAGTTACTATAGTTCCTAGAGTATATTTTATAAGCCTGCCGTTATGTGATGACAATTAGAATCGGAACTGAAACGACGAAACAGTAAGGCAGAATCATTTATATGATTTAACCCACGTATTACCTAATGGAATCTGTGTTCTAGTGAGTTAACGGAGTCTAGTGTGCAATACAAACGACAAACTACTTGTAACCACTTACCAACAAAGTATTTCCTTGTATTGAATAATTTTTTTTTTTTTTTTTTTTTGACGTACAACTAAACCTTTGCCATTTTTTACCTTTTTTTTATCGTTGTAAAGTTGTAGGAAATTCGAGATGATGTAAAAAGTATGTATAAAGAACTGTATTGTGCAATGCAAGTACATAATACCAAGAATTTAATTCATCTTCTTGCACAAAAGATGGTCTAGTTTAATGAACGTTACATTGTATTGTATAAGCGTTATCCAAGAGCGTCGGATGTTGTTTTTAGAAAATTGAGAAAACAGGCGACCGGGAGATGGGCATAATAGATTTATCTCTTGATGCTTCGGAAAATTCTCGATAGTTATAGGCATGTTACGAAATCGTTCGCACAATTTTTAGCAATTTTTTATTTTTAAATTTTATGAGGACATGTTGTCTAGTCCTTTTTTTTAATTTGAAACACATACGCTTTCTAAGTGAACGATGACACGGTTCAAGTTGAAATCAATTCCCACAATAATATAAAATTTGCGCACAAATTCATACTGTATATTATTGTCATCAAAGCTTTATAATTTTTAATTATGAAAGATATTTTTTTGTTTCTCAAACATACATGTTTTTAAAATTGAGACATTGTAATAGGTGATAAAATTTTATCAATAAATTATCAAGTATCATTGCGTTATAATTTACGACATTATTAATGTCGTCGCACAATTATCATTGAAACTTCAGTGAACATTTCTTTCGGGATGGATATTTTTAAACGTAAAACATTTAGTTGTAAGAAATTGACTCTCTTTTGCGAGCGGTATGTACTGCATTTAGTCTATGATAATAATAACAATGTAAATAGTAGCTTGTACAGCGTTAATCGTTATCGTGCTCTTAATGGCTATGTAAAATAAATAAGAGTAAAAAAAAGGTTTATATATACAGGGCGTAAATTCAGACTCTTCTTAAGGATATTGCAGTAAGGTTCAAGAGAAACAGATAACTCACTGTAAATTACAGATATCAATATGATGAATCGTGTTTTCCATTTTTGTTTGAATTCGATTCAAAGTGAAAAATTTATTTTTCAACTTTATAGTGTGAAATTGCACGGAATTCCATTCAGACAACAATTTCTGTGCAAAAATAATTATTCAGTAAATATTCGGCACTTGTTATAGATATTCTTACTTACAAGTAACTGCTTTGTGTTAGTTTAAATCTTTTAATATAAAGGTTAAACAGAAAGTATTAACAAATGTGATGTATTTATTAAAGTGTCCGTAGAGGCATGTATGAAAAAAATTATGAATAATTGTAAAATTTTGTTACTACTGCAACAGTTATCTTGTTTGTTCTATTAATTCGTCTCTATTTTTTTTATTTGTAAGTACGAATTAATGTTGAAAAATTATTGTAAATTCACAGATATGAAAAATAAAGCAAGATTGTCAATTCGAACTAAATTTTTTGGTCATTAACCATTACAGACTAATTTCAAATATTTAATCATACTCTTTGAATTTGTTCTTTTGTCTATTGCAAAATCATCCTCGTCTACAAAGATATTAAATTTAATTAATTTAGTATTTTGAAAAGTTGATACATTTATAGAACGATGATTATGAAATAAAAACTCAACGGCGTCGCGTTTTAAGTACAAAAAATGTAACGGTTACGTACAAATTTATTAAAATAATAAAGATACTTTGAGTACTATTTAATAAATTGCTTCAAATTTTGCACTCTTTTCTTGATTTTTTTTCTTAATAAATATTTATTTATTTAAATTGTACATGTCATTATCAGGAAAACAAAAAACGGAAATCTCTGCTATTTTTCAGGGTTTTTGAAATATTTTACTAACTGATTTTATAACCGTACAAGATATTTCAAGAGCAATGCAATTTGATTAGGACACATTTTTATACGGCTCAAATCCAGTAACTATGTTTTACTTCAAAAACGAAATTAATAATCCTCAACAATACGAATACAATATGTTTTAGACCATGTTCAATTAATAAAAAAGTGATGCAGTGTAATACAAAAATTTATTATTGAATATTCGTTTAATTTTAAGTAGATAGTAATAATAATTCGTTAACTGAAGGTATGCGATGTTTTAACATAAATTTTTATAAAACTATGTGAAAACAATACCAGTACATAGAAAAAACATAAACATTTAATGCTTTTAAATGAATTCAAGTATTGTGGAAAAAAAAAAACGTTTATCCAGAGTGGACATTAGGCTATTCAAGGAGAAAAAAACTGGAAAAAAATAATAAACTGGAAAAGCGTGCGCTCTTTCCAATTACCAAGATTTTTGTACAGCCCTTGACTAACTGGCCACTGCACTGGACCGTCGACGTCGAAAAATATACAGGCACGCGTGCGCTGGAGAGAATATCATACTTTTTTTGCTCGTGGTGCCGTCCTTTCGGACGGAAGAGCGCATTTCATGGTCAGTTGGGTCTCCCGCCAGCCAATTCGCACGCTCGATTGCTCACCCCTTCTCTCAGCAGTCGTACAGTATCCTGCAGAGAACGAGTTCAGTTCGACCACTACAATTCCATATACGTCGATTGCCTACCTCTCTTTTCTCCGGTTACCCTCTTGGTTTGTCGGGTAAGCGACTTTGCGATACCCCACCTCTTTCACTGGACTTTTCTCCCAGTACCTGGGCGCCTGGGGGTATAAATTTTACCTCGTGAACGACTTTTATGGCTACTCGATTACTTTTTTTGACAATCGTTCCCTTTTCTCGCATCCTTCCGGGGATGATTTTTTTCCTCCCCAGAGGTGAATCAAGCTCGGGACCTCAAACGATACTTTTATCGTGTATAGAGAGCTTCTCATCTCATTTTTTTTTTTTTTTTTTAACTTTATATGGCTTTTTCACTTTCGTTTTCAACTTACACCTGGTTGTTTCTCTGATTCGAGTGTATCCATTTTTTCAATGCCACAAAATTTTGATTTGCACAGCTTTGCTGTCTGGATTTTCCAGGCCTGGGTGTTTTTTTCCAGTATAATTTTTTTTATTTATAGAGTGTCAGATGTACTGAGCCAATACAAGTATTACCTCGTTGAGATTGTTTTGTTAAAATTGACGAAAAATCTATTAAAACTGGATACAAAAGTTTTGTCCAGAAAAAACTCTACACTGGAAAAAAGTTTTGTAATGAAAATATTTTTAAAAAATTTACATTAACTAAAAAAAAATACACTCATTATAAAGTTAAATAGTATAACGTTGCTTTACTTTCACGAAATAAATTTTGGATTTTAAATATTTTTATCAAAGATTTTTTCTTAGTTAAAAATAGTTTGATGATAAATAGCATTTTACATTATTTCGTTTTAATATACATATTATATATACTTGAAAAAATAATTATCTAGTCTTCCTATCTTGGAAATAAAATCGCTGTCTATTTTGCACATGAATTTATTATACATCACAATATTTATATTGTAAATAATAACAACTGTATATAATGTACATTATAACAACTATTTATATCTGTTAATTTAATTAGAATTCGTAACACTTTATTATTGTATATTAAGTAATTTTTAAACTTTCATTTCTTTAAATGATTCCAAGTTGCACATAAATTATTACAGCGTCTGGGGATTCGATAAAGCCTGAGTGTATACGAAATAAATAATTTCATGTAAAAAAAAAAAAAAATAGCGATGCCTTGTTGAAATCATTTTTGTGAAAATTTGTATGTATTACGTCACATTTTATTGTTCAGAGTAATTTGCCTACTATACTGCACCATTAATTAAACATTTATTTTTAGTCCAGACCCCACAAATTTAGTTATCCTTTGATTGAACTCAATTTTTTTTCTCCATATAATAAAAATACAGCGGTAGGCAAACTTTATCAGAGTCAAAATAATCGAAGAAGTGCTAAGATAAAGATTTCGGGTCACAGGAAAATGTGCGCTCATGCCTGCAGGCTATCGCTAACTTTTATCGCCAAGTTTTTGTCCACCTTGTCTCTTTTCTTTATTGTTTCAATAAATTCCGTTAAATAATCGAAAGAGAAAACGAGTAAGAGCAGAGGGAGACAAGAAAATGAGTTGGTCGATATTTGTAATAGCATTGGTCGGGACAGTCAGACCCAATGACTTAAATACTTATTAATTGACACACACATAGTAATAAATCTTTTGAAACGCCGATCTAATTAGTATTACGTTTAATTTCGTTCCACTTTGTACATTTTTCAAGTTTTGTTGTTAGCACGTTTTTATTTGATTTTTTTTTTCTTGATAGTAACAAATTACTAAGTTCAAAGTAATATCGTTCTAAACAGATATTTAAAATTAAAAAAATTTTTTTAATTAGTGATTTATTTCAATAAAACATTCCATAAAGTTTATACGACGATTAAATAAAAACAAAATTTTCAAACTAATGCTTGAATAAATAAGATTTCATCAGCTTTTATTGTCTGACATAAATGTATTATACACAGTTTCAGCAGCAAATTAAAATCGTACGTATATTGACTTTTCTATTGCAGCTTGTAAATGCTTTGTTATGAAGTGATAAGTGCATTAAAATGTATTAAATTTCACATGCGATTCTTTTAAACTCCACGATTTGATTATTAAATTTAATTTTTAATCTTAAGATTTTTGTTGTAGTATATATTGACGTGTTTGTTAGGAATTCTGGTAACTAAGTACTTTTAAATAGTTTTTTGATAATCCATTAGGTAATTTTGTCTTTTCACATGGATTTTGATTCGCTGGGTTAAAATTATGTGGTCACAAAACTAAATTACTTTGAAACAGTGAAATAAAATTGAGTCACATTCACTTGTTAGAGTAGCAACTAATCTTCTCTTTCAGTTCGTAATATACACATATTTCAAACAGTACAGTATCGGAAATTTCAAAGTCTTCCATATATTAATATTATAACAATCAAAGCACAATAAAAAAAACATTGAAATACACGTTTCGAGGAACGTAGTTAGAGAACTCAAGTAATATCCTCCTTTTTGTCCTTCTGCGACCA